TTCTGTCTCCTTTTGTTTCTTCTCTGTCTCCTTTTGTCTCCTTCTCCCTAATTTTGTTTTTTTTTCTGTCTCCTTCTGTCTCTTTCTATCTCTTTGTATTTCTCTCTATCTCTCGATGTCTCCTTTTGTCTCTTTTTGTCTGTTCTGTCTCCTCTTTCCTTTCTCCTGTCTCCTTTTTATTTCTCTCTATACAAAAACAACAAAAATATAATTAATAAAAATAAACAAAACAACAAAACCCCTAACCAAACCACTCCTCTCCTATGGGGGCCCCCTGGGGGCCCCCCCCCAGCCCCCTTTGGGGGGCCCCCCAAGGGGGGCCCCTGTGTATGCTGTTGCCGAGTATTGCTGGTTTATATTTATAAAAATAAAATATAAAACGATGAAATAAATACTATATGTTTTTTTTGTCTCCTGGGGGCCCCTGTTTGTTTGCTGCTGGGGGCCCCCCAAGTATGAAGGGGTTTGTTTGGGGGCCCCCTAAGAAGGGGGGCCCCCTGCGGCAGCTGTCTCCTTTTGTTCTTTCTGTTTGTCTCCTTTTATTCTACTGTCTCCTTTCTAGGGCCTCACCGCAATACAAAAGTTTTGGGGGGCCCCCCTATAGGGGGGCCCCCTCCTTTCTTGTACCCTTTGGGGGGCCCCCCTATACAAGGGGGCCCCCTCTTTCATATGCTAGCTGCAGCAGCAGCTGCTGCTGCAGATACACCGCACGCACTGTCTCCTCAACTGAAACTGCAGCGCAGCAGCAGCAGCAGCAGCAGCAACAGCAGCAGCAGCAACAGCAGCAACAGCAGCAGCACTACACATATCAGCAGGCGCTCGAGCAGCAACACGACGGAGAAAAAACACAGCAGCAGCAGCAGCAGCAGCAGCAGCACAATGAACAGCAGCAGCAGCACCCCGACCACGAACAACAACAACAACAGCAGCAGCAGCAGCAGCAGCAGCAGCAGCAGCAGCAGCAGCAGCAGCAGGATGCTTTCGCTTCAGTTGATTTTTTGCGTTTAGGGGTTCTTCCTTCTATGGTAGAATGTCTGCAGCATTGGGGTGTACAGGCAGCTAGCTGCATGCAAGCTGCTGCTCTGCCGCTGCTGCTGCAGGGGTCAAGCGTCTCCTTATTGGGGGAGACAGGCAGCGGCAAGACCCTTATATATATTATTTCTATAGTACAACGTTTGGTGGTGCTGCAGCAGCAGCAGCAGCAGCAGCAGCAGCTACAGCTGCAGCAGCAACTACTGCTGCAACGCAGACAACATCAACACCTACCCCCCCAAAACAAAAACACACTGACCAAAAAAACTGCTGCTGCAGCAGCAGCAGCAGCAGCAGCAGCAGCAGCAGCAGCAGCAGCAAAATATCCTGTTGCTGTTATACTCACACCCACACGAGAGCTCGCGCTGCAGGTACTAGGCTGGTGCAAGCGTTTGCTGCTGGGGGCCCCCCATCTGTCTCCTGCTGCAGCAGGTTTGCTGCTGGGTACTCATACAGCTTGGCCGTACCAGGGGCCCCCCCCCCCGGGGGGCCCCCC